CTGCTCGGCCTCGTTTCTCTCACGAGCGTGTACCTGAGCAGGTACCTCCAGTACCACGGCTCGGTGGCTGAACAGCAGCTCACGAAGCTGACACTTACTGTGCGGGTGAGCACAAAGATGAGGGTGGTGAAGAACTGGAGCACGAGGCTATGCAGAAAAGACAAGACGTGCTCTGTGTCAGCTCTAAGGTAGGGCTGGAGGCGAGTTCTCTCGCATGGACCAGCCTGGACTTTCTTCTAAGCCCAGGCGGGCAAAAGGAGCCCCGGCACACTCTGCACAATCTGTCACTGCGCACCCAGCGTTCGAATCCCCCCTTGCTCTGCAGCACTGGAAGGAGAGGAGCCAGCAAAGGCTCTGAAGCACAACCTCCACCCACCCCGTGTTTCCCTGCCTGCAACCAGCCCCCATTTGAATCCTTTTCCTGAGCACAGCCCTGAGGAAATGCTGCCTTACTCAAGGTGGCGGCCTGCACAAACTGGGGGAGTCCAGAAAACTGTGAAGCTCGAGGTAAGAAGTAGGAGCGCTCCATAACCACAGCCGCCACACGCAGCGCACCAGCTGGTTAGCAGAGAGGAAACTATGCAGAAGCTCCTAAGAAATTGTTAGCAAGGACTCGGTTAGTGTTTGCATGGATCCAGAAGGTACAAGCACACTCCACTCGCTTCCTAGGATGTGCCTGGAGCAGAAGTTTCCAGCCTGAGACCTGATAATCCTTTCCTTATCGGAGCAGACGACTCTAAGGCCTACTGCTAAAATTAGAAGCTAGAGGTACCCGTATTTCCAGCAAGCTCACTTTGTTTAAGGCATCAGAGTTGGATGTTTACTGCATGTCTTGATACAAAAGCTGCATTGACACCCAAGGCCACAGATGAGGTCTTCCTACCCCCACGGCTCAGCAGGGAGGGGTGAATCACTCAGCACTCAGTTGGCAGGTTAGTGTGGATCGCATGCTGGTGCACACTAAGCAGAGGAATGTAGCAGTTTCAGAGTTTCTGCAGAACCTACTGCTCAATTAGCTAACCACTTCAGGGGGAATCCACCTCTGTAAGCATCTAGCGGTGTCAGAGGAGCGATTGCCCGCAGTAATCAACGCCCACAGGAACGAGAGACACGCTGAGCCTTCGCTGTAACCAACACCGCTGCCTGTGCTGAGGTTGCTGTGTTTAGTTCAGCGGTGGAGCCGCAGAGTGAGCCTCTTGGAGGCAGTAAGGGCAAACGTTAACAGATGAGAGTTACCTCTGCACAGCCTCCTGGTCTGGCTCCCCGTCCGAGCTCTCCTCGTCCACAGGGGTGACGGCTGGCACAGCCTGCAGAGACACGGGAAGGAAGCCATGGGTTCCGGGAAGCGGCTGGCGCGGTCCCATCCGCCCAGGGGACACCTGACCTTCCCACACCACCTTTCCCGAGGATGTCAGCTCCTCTGCAGCACCAAGGATGCTCCGCCAAGAACCCCTTCCAACACTCCTTCCCCAATCAAAAGTGCTGCACAAGGTTGCTGCTTCCAGGACAACTCAGTGATACGGATGCAGCAAGGAAGAAAGAACGTGCATTACTGCCCAAGATGGACATTTTGGTCTCTATCAGATCAGCAAAGGAGAAGAAAAGCAGCCATTAAAAAAGAGTTCACAGACACCGTGCCAATCCCAGAGAGGACCACCGCAGCTCTCCCATGGGGGCAGAGCCCCCCACTGCTCCAGAGCAGAGGAACCTCTGGAAGGCAGCGGGCGCACCCCTGCAGCGCTCCCACAGGGCGACAGACCCAGCCTGCTGCTCTGGCTGCTCTGACCCGCAGGCAGCCACCTCTGCCTGCGGGAGAGGATATTTATAAGCACGCCACCAACTCTCCTCTTCCCTTCTGCTACTTACTGGCGTCATAGTGACGAGCGGGGACGGACCTCGAGGACGTTTCAGCAGTTGCTGTGCGTGTAACTGGATGTTGGCTCCGCCGTCTGACGCCCGGCGCCCCAGAGGGCCCATGCCGTTCAGCAGCTGCAGGGTGGGGGGCTGCAGCAGGGACTGCTCCTGCAAGCACAGACAGCGCCCTTACTGACCCTGTACCGCGTCCTCCCGGTACCTGAGCCCCAAGGTCACCAACCCGGATGCTGGCACGACAGAAAAGAAGCCTCCTGGGCTTCAGGAGAGGTGAAGGAACAGCACCAGCATCTCTGAGCTGACATGGTGCAGACGGGGCAGCGTCAGGGGAAAAGCAGCGTTTAACTCCGCATTTCCCTGCGCTCTCCTTTAGCTGCCTGCCAGGCTGCAACCTTCAGCTCCAAAGCCAGGCAGCACAGCCCTACTGCTCCCCAGCCTGTTAATTAACCTCACGCTGCAGCGTGCTCTCACTCTTCAGCTTTTTAAGTACCCAACTAGAAGAAGACAAAGAGGGTAGATCTCAAAGCTCATGGAGCCGGTGCGAGCACAAGCCCAGCCCCTCGTGCCGCAGGGGCACGGGCTGCAGCAGGGAGCTGCTCAGTACCTCATCGCTCAGTACCTTGTACTCCAGCTGACCCGTGGGCTGCAGGTTCTGCCTGGGCAGCACATTGTGCATGAAGTTCACGTTCGGGGTCACCTGCAGGAACGGAGCCTGAGGCGTGACGCGGGGGAAGCCGGGCAGCAGCTTCTGCAGATCTTCCATGACTTCCGTCCTGCGCAACCACATTTACAGACAGGTGAATCAGCAGCGATGTGAAGAGAACCACCCGCAGCCCCAGTGCACCCAGCTTCCCTGCACAAAAAGGCTTCTTGCTGCTCTGGACGATGGTCACAGAGCGTAGCCAAGCCACTCTGGTTTTTCTTTGTCCCCTTTTCCCCTCCAAGCTGAGATTGGCCAGAACCAGCTCTCTGCGTCACCCTCGATCGCATTTATCCCAAAGCCTTCACCTAGGACATGGCAGCGGTGCAGCTGAGGTAAGGAACAGGCCTGCACACCACTGACCACCACCACAGCTTACACAGAGCTCATCGGGAGACGAGGAAGGCACCTCATCCTCATCCGAAACACTAACCAAGCTGTGCAATGGGACAGGACATTTCCCAGAACACTTCTGCTAAAGAGACACCTTGATTTTCTTTCTCCCTTTAGCAAAAATCAAGCATGCAGGAAGAACTCTAAGAACTCACAGCAGGAGCTGGAAACCAAGGGTTTGATACCAGCTAAGATTCAGACATGTGTACCCGCTGGTCTGGCTGGAGTGAAGCAGAGACCTGGGACTGCAGGGCGTGCCATGAAGTGTGTTTGCTAGCCCAGAAACTGCAGCCCATTGCCAGTCCAAAAGCCATCAGCTCTTCCCTGCCAGAGAGCCCAGAAGCCCTCTTAAGGCATCAGCCTCTCATCTGCCAGTGCAGCACATGAATAAATCTGTGACACCTCAGAAGGACCAGTCACACACTAGGAGTAAACCCTCAGCCTCCCCCAGTCCTCCACCAGGGAGTGGAGTGCGATACGAACCGTGGGTCAGCTACTCCAACTGTGTGCCTTCTCATGGAGAGGTAACGGACCAGAGCTTCAGGCGACGGCTCCTCCCCTTCATCACTGTCCAGGTTCATTGTCCCGTCAGTCTGGGCAGGCAAAACATTGGAGATGTTGAAATTATGTGAGGACCAAGCAAAAGGCTTCAACGTGAGCCCGGGTAAAGAACTTGCAGGGGTCATCAAGGGTGCACCTCACCTCCACTATTTGGTTTTCAGGGTTGATGAGCTGCACTTGTGGCACGTTGATGCTCATGGTATTGCCCGTCTGTTCTGCCTGCTGAGCAGAGAGATCAGGATCAGAGGACGTGAAGCTGGCAACTCCTACAAGCCCTTAAAACGCTGCTGGATTAACACCAGTGCACACAGCTAAGCACTCGGGAACAGGGAGGTTACCCTGGAGCCAGTGAAGATCTGTTTACCCTTAACTCTCAAGGGGTTGCCTCATTTCCCCACCTCCCCTCTGTGCAGGCAGGGTCAGCATCTCTTCTCCTTCCCCTTATGACCCAGCCTCTTTTAAAGCAAATACCTGTTTCTTGGACAGCAGCACAGACTGAGGAAGAAGCACTGCACAGCAGCCCTGGTCTGTAAACTCCAGCTCCCACCCAGTGACCCTCCCACGGCCTTCTCCTCTGTCACCACACTAACACTCGACTTTGTCCAAAGGGTGCTCGCTGAATCCACAGCCAACGGACACAGGCTCCTGACCCCAGGACTACGGCACCCAGGAGACACAGAATTCTCAGACAAGGAACGTCTTGACGCTCCTGCCAGGACGAGGACACGTCCGAGTGCAGCAGGCAAGGGACGGGCTGGCCTTCCAGGGCTGGGAGAACACAGTGCAGCAGCAGCTACCTGGATGTTCGCGGAGGTGGGGAAGGTCATGGTCCGCGGGATACTTGGAGATGCTGCAATGCGCAGGTTCTTGTGTCTCTTCAGGCGGTCGCAGAGCAGGCTGTAGATTGCGCTGTAGTGATCGTAAGCGTCGGCTCTTAAGGACTACAGGAGGGAAAGGAAAAGAGCGCTCAGTTCCTTCTGTCAAGCAATAAAATCAGCTGCACGCTGCGCTGAGGTTGCTCGGTTACCAGAGGTGATAAGCGACACGCACGGCCATTTGATCTCCAAGGGGAACGGGCAGGACACGACCGCTGGCTGCGGTGTCGTACCTGGATGGTGCGCTCCTTGTCCAGCCCCATTTCTGCCATGGCCAGCAACACGTCCTCGTTCAGCGGCTCCATCTGCCTCTCAGTCTTCAGGTGCTGACACTCTGCGATCAGCTGCGGGAGCACAGACACAGACCTCAGTGCTGGCGTTCCCAAGGGCACAGCGATGAGTCACCGCGCTCCGGCTGCACGCTGCCACGAGCTTTAACGGCTGACGGCAGACCAATGCAAAATGTGCTGCCCTGGGCTCTCGGTGCCGAGGGGAACGTACAAAAATATATGCAGATTGGGAGTGATGGGGAAAGCAAGACCAGGAGAGACAGAAAGCAGAAAGGCTCAGAAGGAGAGCTCCCAAACAGCCAAAATGAACACCGCAGCGCCACGCGCCTGTTCGCGGCCCGGCAGCGCCGAGCAGACCCCACTCGCACCCCAGCTCGCTTCTGCTCCTCACCCTGTCAAACTCGGCGTCAGCCTCGCCAAGCTTCATCCACTTGTGTTTGCAGATCTGCTCCATGGAGAGCCGCTTGCTGGGGTCCAGGACCAGCATGTGGCGGATCAGATGTTCACATTCTGCGAGGGAAGAGAGGGGCTGGGTAACCCGCAGGAGGGACACGGCTGCTGCAGGAGGCAGCCTTGCGCTGCAAGGGCAGGAGGGCTTTTTCCTTTCCAAGCAATGCACTTCTCTGCAGGAAGTCATCCACAGACAAAATATTGCTTTTCCTTCTGCGCTGTGCACCCAAGGCGCCACTTTTGGGGGTGGGAGGGCAAAGCATCCTCTGGACTTTCTCCACTCAGCAACAGCTCACTGGAAATGATTTCTCCACCATATTATGTGTCCACTGGCACCATGGGGAGCTGCTGAGGCTCTCCCCATCTAGGGTGGGAGCTGAGCTTCCTTTAGAGGCACAGTGGGTTTTAGCAAGAACCCCTTCCCCAAGTGAGGTGGCACACAAGGAAGCTTTCGGCTGGGAAACGCCACGCAAACCATTCAAAACTACTGCCCAATCTGAGAGCAGGCAACCAAGGGCCCACATACGACTTGTTCTTAAGTGAAGTTGGCTTTAACTGAGAATTATTCACACTTCTCAATAACAAGACTTATTACTATTGCATTCAGAAGCATTTTTGCAGAAGCAGGACATAGGCATTCATCTCTGACAGGGCTGCTGCTGGAAACTCATGTGCCACGATGCTGTAAAAGGCTTCTTGTCTAAAGCAGGTACAGTGAGAGCCTCTACATCCCTAAATCACCATTCCAATTCTAGCTTTCACTTTTCCCAAAATTTAGGGAGAGCGTATCTTTGCTGACATTTTGCTATAGCTTGCATGGTTGTGTACACGAAAGCTGATATTCTAAATAAGGGCAATTTGGTTTCTGAGTTCTAGACTCAGACCCCATTTCAGCTTACGTTACGAACCACCATCCAGCGGACAAGCCTCCTCCAGCACATACATCAGCTGGAACGCTGCAGTTTAAGTGCTCCAAAGAGCCTCTACGCAGAGACGCGAGCAGCGCCCGCTCAGCGCTGCAGACGGGCGGGGTGCGCGCCCCTTACCTGTGGACATGAAGAACGGAATGCGAAACTTCCCGCTGAGCACCCTGGCGCGCAGGTTCTGCAGCGTGCTCCCGTCGAAGGGCAGGGCGCCGCACACCAGCACGTACAGCACCACGCCGAGACTCTGCGGCCAAAACAAAGGTCGGGGCAGTGGCGTTAGGGACCGGGAGAGCGAGGGTGACTGCAGCAAGCGTCGTTTGAATAGAAGAAAATAGTAAGGAAGATAAAAGGAAATCCCACCGCGATGGACCTTGTTGCAGGCTCAGTCCCTGGTCAGCTCAATCCCTCCTCCAAGCCTGACTTTGACTTTCTCTGGAGCCTCAGAAGCCGATGGTTAAGGTGCCCACAGCCCCACACCACCACAGCGGGAGGCTGTGGCCAACCCACGTGCCCAGAGCAGCGGCTCTGGCCGCCCAAACGCCGCTGTGACGCCACGGCCATTGCCAGCCCAGCCGTGTCACCCATCCGGCTTGGGCAGCAGAGCCCGGGAGCCCTGCAGGGACAAGAGGCTGGAGACCAGGCAACCGAGCCACTCTGAAAGCGCCCTGCCACCCAAGAGCAGTGAAGGGAATCAGATTTTGGGGGAACCAAATTGAAACACATTTCTGGGCAACTAATATGTTTGGCACCATGCCTCCCACCAAAGAAAATACATGACATGGTAGCCAGAATAAAATCTTACAAGCGTTTCTTTAAAAACCGTTCTTTGGTGTATCGGGGGGTTTCTCCAAGACAAGTACCAAGTACTCAAGAGGCAAAGCCAACCAAACAGAGCAGAAATCAGACCAAATAAGAGAGAAAGGTTCATGGCATACCCAAATGTCAACCTTTGGCCCATCGTATTCCTTGCCTTCAAAGAGCTCTGGAGCAGCGTAGGGAGGACTCCCGCACCAGGTTTTAAGCAGCTGGCCAGGCGTGAAGATGTTACTGAACCCAAAATCTGAGAGAGCAGAGAGAACTGGTTAGAGGAACACGATCCGCTCCAGCTGTCCTCCACGAACGGTGTTCGAGGGATTTGCCGAGTGTGGTGAAGTCCTGTACAATGCCATAGTGCAGAACTGGCACAGACATCGAAGAAACAAGGGTGCAAAAGAGGGGAGAGGAGTAAGGGCAATGCTGGAACCACCAGGACAGCGTGCGGCTTCTGTCCCTGCCGAGTACCAACAGCAGCACAGCCCCTTCAGACAGCGTAAACCAAACCCCATGCAGCAGCCTGCTGCTGACCCCTGACAGCCCTGTCCGGGTACCACAGCCACGCTGCTGCTGTCAGCAGAGCAAAGACCTTCCCCAAAGTCTTGTCCTTCACTTGTCACCCCCCTCATTTCCACACTGGAGCCACTACACCAGCAGTCACATCAACCAGGGCTGTGCAAGTCAGGTGGATGGTTTGGAAGAGGCCTTATATTCCAGAAATATAACCTCACATTCAAGAAATCCCACAAAATCTTATGGGTGAATGCCCAGCCTTTCACAGCTTCATCAGGGGCAGGGCAGCCGCAGCAAGGACAGAACAAGGGACAAAGGACAGAACACGAAGGGAACAAGGACGGGAGATTTGTGTTTTCCAGAAAGCCCCACAGGAGCTGGAAAATTCAGTGATGGTGGGCAGCTCTGCAAACCGAGTCAAATCACCCACCAGCAAATAATAAATCCTGGCAGAGGGATTCAAAGCGAGGTCTCGACCTGAGGCAGTCACCCAGCAGCTGATGTGGGCACTAATGGCCCTCCCTGCTCATTAACCTGCCAGCCCCTGGCCCGCCGCCGGGACCTGCACTGGAAGAGCGAGGAGACCAAAGGCACCATTCCAAAGAAGTCTGCTTTTTCCTATTAAAACATCTTCACTAATGAGATCGTTCTTTTTTGCCTCTATCAAGTAACAGCAAACAGAGTCAGAGAGGCGTCTCTGCATCCCGCGAACGAGGTGTCCTGGAAGCCAGCTCCATTGGAGCAGCGGTGCCACAGAGGTGATGTGCACGCAGCCAGGCCTGGCCCTCCCCACACGTGTGACAGCAGGAGGGCGAGCGACGCCAACACGGGCGGACAGGGACCCAACAGCAACGAGGACGTTTCTCATGGCGCTTGCACCCGCAGCGGATCCTCAGTGCAGGGTTGTGTGAGGAAGGCTGCAAGAACAACGAGGGCCAGGAATATTCACCGTGCAAATTCCACCTGATTAAACACAAAAACATATGGCACAGCTGGGGAACACCACCATCTCTTGGGAAGAGCATAAGATTAAATCCATCCCTGGTCAGAAGTGGGGCACATCTGGGACCACACGGAGCTGCCTGCCTGTCTGTGAGTGATGCACAGGAGTTCGGTGCTGTGCAAGGGGAACTGGGTTGAAAACGCCTCGTTTAACACGTCTACAAATGGTAAAGGGTACCCGAGATGCCAAAGCACAGCAGTTCCTTTCCCATTTCTTGAAATAAATACACATCCACCTTGAAAACTCACCTTGGTTTGAGGTGAGGATGGTGAGGGCTCTGGAGAACAAGCCTGATGAGGAGCGGCTGAGGGAACTGGGCTTGTTTAGCCTGGAGAAGAGAAGGCTGAGGGGAGACCTCAGCACCACCTACAACTGCCTCAAGGGAGCTTGTGGAGAGGTGGGTGCTGGGCTCTTCTCCCAGGTGATGGGGATAGAACAAGGGGAAACGGCACCAAGCTGTGCCAAGGGAGGTTCAGGTCAGAGATAAGGAGGAAGTTCTTGACTGAGAGGGTCGTCAGAAGCTGGCACAGGCTGCCCAGGGAGGTGGTGGAGTCACCATCCCTGGATGTGTTTAAGGAGCGGGTAGACGAGGTACTTAAGGATATGGTTTAGGGGGTAGACAGGAACGGTTGGACGTGATGATCTCAGAGGGCTTTTCCAACTGAGCGATTCTGTGATTGGTTTTTATCTGCTGATTTCTCCGTAGTCTTTTATCCATGCTTTAAAGGTATGGACTCGGGCGCACACTCTTAGCCGTCAAGAAAGGTTTGTTTTCCTGAATCCCAAACACTACAGGTTTGTGGTTTTCTAAGATTTAGGACACCACCAGCATCGTGTGATCCTGTGCATAAACCCGGGGTGTGGACAACGCCGCTCAAACCCTGCCCGGGAACAGGGCACAGAGGTGGGAAATGCTCTGTAAAAGCATCGCTGCCTCAAAACAAGGTGGTCAAATGGGGTTTCACCGCTGGGAACAAAGTCACCTCAGCTCCCAGCACAAGAGCAGTCGGCCTTTGGAGGAGGATTTCGGGGAAACGGCACCCAGCGCACAATTGCCTTTTTCACCTCTGCCGCTTCTGAGCTCCTCTGCCTGGCGGTGAAGTGGATGAGTAACGAGTGCCTGAATTACGGCTACCAGAGCAGTCAAACCAGCACTGAGAGTATTTCCATCTCTAACAACAACGCACTTGTAGGCAACTGAACTCTCTCAACCTGTGCAGGAGCACGCTGGAATTTCAGCACTTCACATATTTTGAGCAAATTATGCTGGTGCAGTTACTTCTGTTTATTCCTGTACATGCTCGAGTGGGCTCTGCAGCACTCTGGGATCTGGCTGTGCCTTCAAAGCAGTGCCTATCGCCCCGTGCAGCCCGGCACCAGCTCTGCACAGGACAGAGAACGAGCTGTTCCCTCCTGCCCCGTCACGCCAAGGAGCCCCGTGTGACAGCAGCAGCGCGTTCTGCGGCACAACAGACACAACAGCTGCCTCCTGCCACCTTCTCTGCTGGGGAAGAGCTGCAGGAGCCTGGCTGGCTGGGAAACTTCCCGCCCCTTCACATGGGGTTGACATTAGCCCGTGGGCTGCGCCGTGCTGGTGCAACCAGCAGGTCCTGGCGCTCCTGCGGTCGCCCCACGGCCGCCCCGGATTTCAGGATGAGAAACTCTCCTCGAGTGCTGTGTTCAGTTGTGGGCCCCTCACGATAAGAAGGATGTTGAGATTCGGGAGCGTGTTCAGAGAAGAGCCACAAGGATGGGGAGGGCTCTGGAGAACAAGCCTGATGAGGAGCGGCTGAGGGAACTGGGCTTGTTTAGCCTGGAGAAGAGAAGGCTGAGGGGAGACCTCAGCACCACCTACAACTGCCTCAAGGGAGCTTGTGGAGAGGTGGGTGCTGGGCTCTTCTCCCAGGTGATGGGGGATAGAACAAGGGGAAACGGCACCAAGCTGTGCCAAGGGAGGTTCAGGTCAGAGATAAGGAGGAAGTTCTTTACTGAGAGGGTCGTCAGAAGCTGGAACAGGCTGCCCAGGGAGGTGGTGGAGTCACCATCCCTGGATGTGTTTAAGGAGCGGGTAGACGAGGTACTTAAGGATATGGTTTAGGGGGTAGACAGGAGCGGTTGGACGTGATGATCTCAGAGGGCTTTTCCAACTGAGCAATCCTGTGTGTGATCTGTGTGTGTGTGATCCTCGTGCAGAGCTGCTGCCCTCCCCAGCGCTTTCTGGGCCGGGGGTGAGTCACCGTGCACCTCTGCAGGGAGCTGCAGCCGGACGGCCCCGTCCTGCACCACGCGCTCTCCAGCAGCTCCCAGGACCCACCTGCGCTGCAGGGACCGGGTCGGGGCTGCTGGAAACAGCAGGCGATTTAAAATCCCCAAAAGCAGTTAAGGGGGAAACTGAAAACGCCACAGCAACAAACATAGCCCACACTATAAGGTAAATAAGCTTCCTTAAAAACCAGGACAAGTCACCCCTGTCCAGGCAGGTGCATAAATCCAAATCCCCAGGGAGCAACCGGGCCTCATTCCACAGACAGACGCAGAGTGAAAAGGGCACTTCTAAAGAGCAAGGTAAAAGTCACGATGATGTGATGGAGGAAAAGGACTTTAAGGAAACATCTCTGTGCTACAAAAAAACATGGGCCCAGTCTCTCACACTTCCCGAGAGTGGAGCTTCGGCTTCTGTATCTGCACAACAGGGACTTTCATCCTCAGAAGGTGAAGGAGCGAGCGGGCTCTTGCAAACGAATGCAGAGCAACGCATAGATGGGATTCCTCTCTGAAACCAAACCCCAGGAAGGCCTGGGTATGTAGCAATCATCTCAGCTCCTGGCTGAACTCTCTGACTGGGAGCACAAGGGAACGCGGTGCCAGAAGCTACTGACTCAGACTCCGAGGAGGTAACCGGAGAGAGAGCACCCATGGGAAAAGCGAGAGCGAGGGTGTTTGTACCTTACTGTTCACGGACAGACAGCGGAGCTGCCATCAATCAGAAACCCCAAGCCCCACACTCGCAGTCACCACGGGGTGAGAACAGCAGCATTAACCCACTTCAGCGCTGCCGCGATCCCGCTAAGCACCGGTTACTTAACCAGTGCCCAGTAAGGGCTGCAAAGCTGCAGATGGAGGTCAGCAGTAATGCGCCGGGAAACCCGCAGCGGGGGCAGCCTGGAGGCTCCCGAAGCCACGGGACTCACGCACACGGGTGTCAGAGGATCCCGAAGCTGCAGTCCCAGGCTCAGCTGGGGGTGATCAACAGGGGTCCCTCACCCTGCATAAGGCTTCCTGCACTTCTGGAGCATTTACTCCGGGAGGCCTGGTGTGAAACAGATCAGCTGCTGTCACTTCTCGTTTTGCTCTTGAAACAAGGGAAGAACTGGTGTCAAGTTGTAACTGATGAGTTATAGGGACAAAACTTAGTACCTGGAATGTCCTACACCGTACATCAGCTTTTCCAGGCTACTTTTCCAATCCCTGCTCCATCTTCCTGCCAAGTAAAACACCACCAGCAGCAGGGCGGGAGCTATCTTCTAGAGGCCATTCTGGGAGCAGAGATCTGGAAGGAAAATACTTTCCAACTCCCTCGGATTAAAAAACCCAAAAGTTTCCACAATTTTCAGACGCTCGCAGAGCTTGCGGCACGGACACTGCTGCAGGAAACCCAGCCCTATTCCTGTCTCTACCTGGGCCAGTTTTTACCTTTTCTATCTGGTAAGCGACCTCCCCCTCCACACGGGTTAGATTTTACCCCACGAACACAAGATGGCCTCAAACCATCAGTGCATCAGCTTGCAGAAAGCAGATCCCGAAGCGCTGCTGACGTCGGCCTCCTGAGCAGCCGCTGACTGGGATCCCCCACCTGCAGCACCACAACTGCTCAGACTCCACGGTTCTGCAGCCTCAAGCACCTTTTAAAAACACCGACATTACAAGTGCTTGTAAAAGCCGGCAAGGAAGCCTCTTAAGAGAGTGCAGAGCGCTCTCCAAAACGCTCTGCTCTGCATCAGCTCCAACAGAATTAAACAGCGAGTATGAGCCCTTCCAATTCAAGCCCATGAAATGAGATGATCGGGACGGTATTAAATCCTCCTGTTTCAGTCGGCTGCCACATAATCCCACAAAGCTGAACAGAGCCCAGGCCAGGCAGCAGCGGCCACGGCTCGGTCTCGGGTACAGAACGACAGGCACAGGCCTGGGTCAGGCCAGCCCCAAAGCCGCTCTGAGAGCAGCTACAGCAAAAGCCCCAGTGCCCAGCAAAACCCCGGGAGGGCCTGCTGATTTACTAACTTCTCTCCAGCAAGCAATAAAACACCAAAGCTCGGGGCTGCCCTCCTGCTCTGTCGGTGCAGTGCAGCACCGTTTCCCCTTCACTGCTCTACCATGCACGTTGTCATCCTCGCTTCCCATCCCTTCTCTCACCTGGCCTGACCCGCTCTGAAGGAGTCCTAAACTGGCAGCAGGACTCAAAACAAGGCCCGTTTTTAATGTTGGTGTCACCCATTCCCCAGTGTATGGGAGCACTGCAAAATCTACGGCTGCATATCTGCCTGCGACTCCAAAGCAGCTCTTTCTCCTCCTCCTTTAATTCTGCACTCCTTGAAGGGAGATATAAATCTCCCGACTACAACCTGGCAGCTCCAGCTCCGGGCAGCAGGCCACGCAGAAATCCAAAGCTTCCTTCAGCTGCATTGCGCTTCCTTCTTTCTGAATACCTGGAAGCAGCCAATGCCTACATTTATGAACTTGTGAAAGCAGCTGCCTTCCTCCCGCACCGCTCCTCTTAGCTCACCTGCTATTTTGATGTTGAGGTTAGCATCCAGGAGGAGATTTTCTGCCTTCAGATCTCTGTGGACTATGTTACGACAGTGGCAGAAGTTGACAGCGGCCACGATTTGCTTGAACTTCCGCCGCGCTTCCTTCTCGGCCATGCGGCCGTGGGCCACCAGGTGATCTGTGAGGGGTGAAATGAAGAACGAGAGGTTATTGACGCTGCGAGAGCAACGCACACGGGGGCTTCTCAGCAAGCAGCGCAGAGGATGGAGACTGGGAATGATGCGGGACCAGTGTATTTCCCGGCTGGGGTCACCACCGAAGGGACACTGGCACACCATGGCCACACCGGCCCTCACCTGGGCCGTCTCCAAGCAAAAGGCTTCAAAATTATAAACTTTTAGAGGGCAGCTTGTTATCTCCTCGCCATTCCAAGAGGCTACTGCTGCTCAGCTGGGCCACCGAGCTGACCTCAAAAGCCTTCTGGCCAAGACCAGGCACAGTGGTTCACTTCAGTCCATGAACTCCACGAAACTGGAGGGCTTGACAGAGATCTCTCTTCGTGAAAATAACACAAGTAAATCACTGCTGAAGGCTCCTCATCAGGCGGTCGTATTTTTCCCAGTCACCCATTAATTAAAATACCTGCGACATAATTGACTCGCAGTAAATACTAATTACCAAGATCCATCAGAGCAGCTCCGCTGGCTCCTGACTGCACAGCAACGCGCTTTGCCACGGTTGACTTCTCGTGTTGTGCAACAGAGCGCGGTTGTTTTGCGCAGCACTTGTCAATTAACTTTTATTCACCCGATTCCCTGAGCAAACCTGAACCGGGGCTGGGGAGGCAGATCCCTCAGCCCTTCCAACACGACCCTCGAGTCGCCGGCTAGGGAAAGCCAGATTTACCGTCTCACACAGCCCCATGGTGTTTCATTGGGTCATCCGCACGGACATAAATAGAAGGCACGGGACGCAGGACAAGCAGAGCAAAGCAAGGCCCCGCTGCCCCTTTTACTGCCCCGTCCTGCTCAGGACTGCTCAGCTTAGGCGTGAAATTTCCCTTTTCATGAAGAAACGCGAGAGGAGGCCGGGCCCCGAGCTCCGCACGTAGGCACAGCACTGGGAGACCGCTGACATTTCTGCGCAGGCTGCAGAGGAAGGCCAGGAACAATGAAGCTACAGAATACTTCACATACCAGCAAGGGCAACTGTATGCCAAAATTAACCGTTGCGAGCTTAGTCTGCGTGAACCCGCGTGCAGCGGAGTTAGGGACGACCCGAACGTCCAAGCCCGGAGCACGGGCTCCCCGCCGGCTCCTACACAGCTCGGTGTGCTCTGCGGGAGCCGAAGGGGCGCACGGGGCTGCTCCTTCAGTGCTCTCCAGAGATGAGGGAACACGTGATTTCATTTCACAAACCTTAGGAACATCGGTGGATGTTCTGGGTACTCGTAGGGAGCACCTGATGCTGCTCTCTGCACTAAAAAACTCGGTCAAATCCCATGCTGAAGAAAAAGCTGCTTCTGGTTAGGAGACAGGATCAACCCACAGGTTTCCCCTTTTCACCTCCAGACTCCTTGCGCTTTCCACTTGCTCTGTCTGGAAAGCAGACGCTGCCTCAGCTTCGCATCTCCTCCGTGCGGCGGAGCAAGTTGAATCCCAGCGCGTTTGCCGACCTCGCGATGCCAGCAGCAGCCCGACCTTCCAGAGCCTGGCCCGTGTGTTTTAACACAGCCGTGCAGTCCACGCTCAGAGAGCCGAGGACGAGCGGGAGGCCGAGGCTGGGACAGCAGCCGCGCTAACCATGTGAACCAGAGGGTCACTTCGTCCGGTTTCCTGAGGATTTCTGTTCATCAGCCAAGCACCCACATTCCTGCCTGTGAGGACTGCAGATTATTTGCAGTATTTGTAGTAAACAGCCGAAATCAAACCAGACCTTCAGACTGCGCTCTCCCTGACCTCCAAAAAAGGACACTCGAGGACCCGGGAACAAAGAGCACCCTCTGTTTCAAACAAGACGTTCATGTGCTCACGATGTCAAACCAGCAACCCAACCACACATGCACAACGCGCGCAGAGACAGAAACAACACTTTACGTGTTGCTGCTGAAGCCCACAAGGCTTCTCCCTGACCCCCACGCAAACAAGGTGCGTTATCCGAGCGCTTCCAGGAACCACAGACACTCACGGCCCGGCCCGGCCGCTGCAGGAGCGCTCAGCCCGCTCCTGGAAGCACGGACGGGCGGTGCTGCTCACCCAGGCGCTGCCCTAGGGATGCTGCAGAGCTGTGGCCAGCAAGGGACAAGGCAGCAAACATCCAACAGCGACGTAAACCGTGGTCATTTACAGAAACTGCCATTCTTTCAGCTAAAAACCACCCCACGTTACTGCCCCTGCAGCACTGTAAGTTGTACGGGACGGTTCAAACCTCGGGAAGGCTTTTCAGAACACCCAGGGAAACTACTCAGCTTTCCTTCTCACAAAGCCTGCTGGTCACAGAAGCGTGACGCTGTATTTCAGATTACAGCAGGCACCCAGGGAGCACTCAGTGTCCTAAGACCCCAGGCTGCCAGCTCCTCAGTTCTGCAGCTCAGCCCCACGCTTCCACATTAAAACCCCGCATTAACACATGCAGATGTGCAGACCATCAAGAAGACAAAGAGAAGCCGGAGCGGGTGAGAAGCCAGCCCACCCCAGCAGCTTTCCCTCAGCACCCTGGGAACGTGAGACTGCTCAGGGCTGGAGGTGCTGAGGAGCGCAGGGAAACCTTCCCAAAAGGCGCTGCTGCTTCCTCCTGTGAACTGCTTCCGCCCGGAGAACAGAGTCTGGGGGGCTCCTCAGGAAACTCTGATCACAAAAAGCTGAGACTTCAGCTTCCCCCTCTCTGCTCTGACACCGAGGGCGCGGGGGGACTCATGCAGCCCCCAGAAACGCTCCAAACCGGCGAGCGGGGCCACGGCTGCCTGGCCTGGGCCTGCAGAAACGGCAGGGCTGGCTGCCCCCAGCCAGCAACGAGGACAAAACGCCGGGCGCCGCAGTGGAAATCAGCCGTGCTAACGAGCCGAGTTTACTACAGCACAAAGCATCGCAGAGAGCAATCAGGGTTTCACTTCGGCTCGTGTGGAAGGCTATTTCTGTAACCAAGAGAGTCCGCTCCAAGTTTGTATATGAGCTTGCACATAGTTCTGGATTTAAAAAAAGATGAGCCCATCTCTGCCAAATTCAACAGAAGGGGGAGAAAAAGGAAGAAGTGATTTATACTTTTCTGCAGCCATTCACACGCAAGGGAACTCTAACATGGACACGGGCAGTGTTGAGAAGAAGGCGTCCACAAAGGCACTGAGGAACCGGTGTTGGCCTATGGCTCCCGCAAACCAGCATTTCTCAGCTCAAGTTGTCTTATTTTCCTGAATCTGGGGCTTCTCTTGCTTCACTTCGTCAGGATTCTGCCCCTTTTGGGGCTCGCACGGGCTAAGCCAGTGAAGAGCAAAGCTGTAAACCCCGACTGCCACCTGGCACAAAACACCGGTGCGTAAGGAGATCTCCGTTTCTGCAAGCTGTCTTACTGGCCACGGCAATAAACAACCAAACGGATAGATCAGTCACCAGCTCTCGCAATCGTGCTGCAGACACTTCTAGTTTCCCTTTAAAGAATTGCTTCTGTGGGCCAGCAAGCTCAGCCAGAACGCTGTTAGCAGACAATGGGGTTGAAGATGGACACAACTAATACACGCTAAGATAACATCAGGTATCAGCAAGATAAGAAAATGCACGGTTTTGAGAACAAAATACGAGAGAGCCGCAGGACTGCCTGTTTCTGCCCCTCAGTTCAAGAAGGACAGGAACTGCTGGAGAGAATCCAGCGTAGGGCTACAAAGATGATCAAGGGAGTGGAGCATCTCCCTTCTGAGGAGCGGCTGAGGGAGCTGGGGCTCTTTAGTTTGCAGAAGAGGAGACTGAGGGGAGACCTCGTTCATGTTTATCAATATTTAAAGGGTGAGTGTCACGAGGATGGAGCCAGGCTCTTCTCGGTGACAAACAATGATAGGACAAGGGGTAACGGACACAAACTGGAACACAGGAGGTTCCACTTCAATTGGAGAAGAAACTTCTTCTCAGTGAGGGTGACAGAGCACTGGACCAGGCTGCCCAGAGAGGTTGTGGAGTCTCCTTCTCTGGAGACATTCAAAACCCGCCTGGACGCCTTCCTGTGCAACCTCATCTGGGTGTTCCTGCTCTGGCAGGGGGATTGGACTGGATGAGCTTTGGACTGGATAGCCTTCCAATCCCTGACGGTCTGGGCTTCTGTGTGATTCTGTGATTCTCCGAGAGCTACGAACACCAACTCTTCTGCTGCCGTCAGCAAATCTCCTATAACTTCCTGGGAAGCAGAGTGTCCAGCAACACTTGACAGTGCCACTGCACGACTGTTACCAGCATCTCTAACCCCAAAGTCCACACAAGAGAGGAGCAGCAGCACCTGTCAGAGACACCCAAAGAAGAGAGAGATTATGGAAGTTATTTTTCCACCAAGTTGGCACCGTTTCTTTCTTTGCCCCTCTTGTCAGTGGAAAGTTTTCAGGCTGAAGGGCATCTCTCGGCTGAAACAAGAGAGCGTGGCAGCTATTTTCAGTTTACTGCAGGGACCAAGTGCATTATCTGATTAAAGAATGCAATAGATGTACTTACCAAAGATTTCTCCTCCACTAGCATACTCTGTCACTAGATAAATCATCCTCTCCGTCTCCATAACCTGGACACAAGGACAGAAACGGGAATCAGGAGACTGACAGTGCAAAGAAACATAACCCACTGAACGCTGTTATTCCTTCCACAACACGTAACCAGTTCACCTTCCTCAGGATCAGCCCATTGCACGCACCAACACAACCAACACGGTGCTGCCAAGGAGGGGAATGTTCTCGGGATCGATAAGTGACGTTCCGATGAGCCAGGAGCTATTAGAAATAAAGCAGAGCTCGGGCTGTGCTTCAGGGAGCCTGCACGTCCCGGCCAGGTAAAGCTCCACTGGTACCAGCTTTAACACCCGCTTTTCAGAGGGTATGAGGATTTGGGCTTGGAGCAGTCCAGCACACCAAGGCCAGCCATCTACTGAGCTTCTCTAAAGGCCAGACGCTGTGCAAAGGCATTGAGGGGTGGACGGCAAGCGGTGCCACGCTGGGCACAGCAGCGGGGCCACTGCACAAGACGGAGGCGTACGACTGATTTCTGAGCAGGGTCCTATCCCCCCAGCGAAACCCCTGCTCCAAAATGAGCTCGGCATCCTCAGTAAGCCCTGGGGAAGTCCCTGGCAGCGTGCAGAGGAGAAGTGAAGCGCAGGGCAAGGCGCCGCACGCTCCAGACTGACCCCAGCTACGTTCTAGCGCCCGACAGGCAGCGGGTGAGGGCGCGCGGTCACTCTGGGCACGCAAACGCAGCAGCTAACGCCCTCCTGCTGTCCGGGCTGGGAAGGGTGGCTCCGAGGGCTGCTTTGTGACCCGCCTTCAGGCAAGTACACACCCGCGGTGTTTTCCCAAGCTCCACGCTATTTGTTCAGC